AGAGAGAGAGAGAGAGAGAGAAGAGTGCACGTCTTCAATGTAATGAGCCACGCAAGAGACATTTATCTATTAAAAGATAAAAGAAAGAGTACCTGGTGGCGTGTAAATATAGATAATAAGAAGTAAGTATTTTAGTTCAATGAAGAAGAATGAAATCGTATCGTCGAAAACATAAGAAAGCAGAAAGACACGCGAAATATGCAAGGATAATCTCGTAGAAGTCTTGTCCTGAAAGTAAAGGTACAAACATATTGAAAATTTAAAAAAACATTTATTACAAAATTGAGTGAAAAATATTCAATCCATACATTTAGTTATTTTTAGATATAATTATCAAGATATTTAATACAGATACAAATTCTTATCGAATTTCTTATCAAGCAAATGTTTTTGTTTTTTAATAAAAATTAATAAAAATCGCTAAATCGCTTACTGTATGTAAAGTTTCAAGTATGACGTGTTCTCGCAATCCAAAAAACTACGTGCGCAGACAACAGAATTCTATGACACTGGAATAGTAATTAAAGTAAAAGAGAATTCGTCTTGCATACTAAACAAATGTCTTGACAACTATGATAATTATATTAAATAATAGCTAAATATGTGCATATTAGGAAAACTTTTACTCGATTTTGCAATAAATGTTTTTATTTTTATTACGTTTTAATTTTACTTTCTGGACAACCTCGTGGAACTCTTCGAATGGAGATCAGTGCATTAGCTGATCTAACGCACTGATGAGCAGTGAGCAAGTATAAACAAGACTTAAAAGTTGTCACGTTGTGGCGATATTACGTCATCACGGAGACTGGGATCAAACACGATTATAGAGCATATTATATGTTACGTATTGTCAGTATCACGTGTCGATGACGGACGGTATCGGGCTGAAAATAAGAAATGCAAATACAGCGTTTGTTTTGCACTTGTCCTTCTTTCTCTCGTTACACGTCTATCTAATTTTGTATTATAATAACAACGTGACATGGTGTGTATAATGTTAATAAATGTTAATATTTCTTTTTCTTCGTCGTTTTGTTTGGTAATATAAATAACGATTGCCCTGCACCTCCGTAACTTCAAAATTAGATTCTCTCACTTCTGTTTTTATGAAGTTTTAGTGCAGACGAGTAATCACTTCCTAAAAGAATCAATTATTTACAAAGAATTCCGACGAGCGGATGAATCTTCTATGAATGAAATGCGAGGCGATTCATAAAAATTCTTTGCACAAATAACAAATTCTTTTAGGAAGTGGTCACAGCCTCCACTGAAACCTCACGCTTTATTTCAATAAGAACAGAAGTGAGAAAATCAAATTCATTCATTCATTCTAGTTCACTCCAAAATATTTGTTTTTGGACTAATAAAAAACTAGAATTTTTGTTACTTTTCCGAAGTTTAACTTTAATTGGCAGGAACTTCTTGTTTGTTATTGACGATAGTGGTATTTTCTTGTATCGCAGGCATCTGTTCGATGCAGCGCCATAATCCATAGGTTTTGCCGACTACGGTCTGCCACAATCTCAAGGTGCCGTCTTCAGATCCACTGGCGTATAATTCACCGTCTGGTGAAAAGCGTACCCAATGTACAGGTCCAAAGTGTCCCTTGAATGATTCTAAGAATACAAAATTTATAGACAATTAGGATTACATTTGATAAAAATTATGAAATGGTAAAAGATGAAGAGCTCACCTAATTCTACTCCAGTATCGTAGTCAAATTTATACATTTTAAAGTCCTCCCCACCACACACAAATATGGTGCAATCCGGATGTAAGCTAGCACTATTAACTTGAGTCGGAACCGCGAATTCTTTTATCTTGGTTAATCTGATAAAGAAATTTAAAAGTTAGAAAAATTGCATTGAACTTGAAAATATTAACCACACATTTGAATTCAACGACTTTAAAAATAGAATACCATAAAAATTACAAAATTTCTATGGATAAAAACTTTTTTTTAATATTGCATACTTATGTGCATCATTAACAATTAAGGGATTAATTTTCCTTATTTTGAAGATATGCTATTGCGATACAATGTTTGATATATGATATAATTTTTATAATAAAGGAAAGAAATTGTACATACTCCTTGCTATCCCAGAAACTAACAATATTAGAATGAGTTGTGGTGATAATCTCCCCATCTTTGGACACTTCCATGGAACTTGGAATTGCAGGAAAGTCTAATCTTTTAATTTCTTGCCCACTATTTCTATCCCACACCCTTAATGTTTTATCATCTGCACAAGTAATTAAGGCAGAGTTATTATCGAAGAAAGTGGCATGTCTAATACCACTTGTATGACCTGAAAAGATCTAGCAAGAAAATCAAAATATTGTATTATTCCGGATAGTGTTAATTATTTTTGTATTAGCATCAACTTATATAATTTTATTTACCTGTGGAGCTGCTTCTGGTTTATTAAGATCATAAATGCGTACAATCTTTTCGTTGGAACCAGTACATAGATGATTGGAATCTGTACTGAAATTAACAGTTTTTACTATATGTTTGTGTACAAACGAATGTACCTCTTCCCCCTTAATCGCATCCCAGACTTTAGCATTAAAATCGGCTGCGCCGGTTGCAGCTCTAGTAGCATCTGGATTTAACGCCACACCCCATACTGCCCCTTTATGCCCTTCAAATGTGCCAATCCAATCTCCAGTGTCACCTTGTCGTAACATAGGCTTGCCATCTAAAAAAATTTTTTCCTTTAAACTATTTTGTCTGTACACACAAATAATTTTATTCACAACCATTAAATACATTATTCAATATAAAATATAAAAAAAACATTAATCTGTTTCCAAATAAATCCAGAAATTTAATTAATAATGTTGCATTATTATTTATTAGTATTATATTTAATTAGTAAAGTGTTAATTTTTAAGATATTACATTATAGATTAATAAATTAACAAAAATATAAGTTTCTTTATTAATACTTTATATTATATATAATTTAACAATATTATATATTAAGATTAAAATTACTTGATTGGTCAAATTGTAATTTCAATCTTTAATGCTGGGATTAACACGTGTATATAAATTAATATTACGTACGAAACCATTTGAATTTCCAAGTGTACACATCGTCAGACGATATTATTTAACATAATTGATTATATTTGAAAAATGTATCAACGTGGCACAATGATTTAGTACAATCTTTTCAAATATATATCGAATTTGCTTCGCATTGATAATGCAACAGGCAGGAACCGCGTTGTCAAGAACACAATCTAACCTCGAAGTTGTAAAGCCTTGGGCAATTTGAAAAGAAGTGGGCCAAGGCGATCGAGAATGTACGATTGAAAAGAAAAGATATCGCGACAGCCAAGCTGCCGACTTGCGCCACTAAATTTTTTATGTTACCTTTGCACGCCGAAATGAGATAGTATCCGGATTCAGTAATATCGGAGAAGGCTAGATGAACGACAGGCCTCGTGTGCCCGCTGCACGTGAGCGGTGTTTGCCTCAGACTAGTCATCGCTGTTTATCGTGCTGGCTCTTCCTTGCTACCGGCGACGTGCTCACCCGCGACAGATTGACGACAAATGAACTGATACCGATGGTGACACACGTCGACTCGAACGTATGTCGTGATGTCCGATCTTTTTATCACGCGCTCACCATTATTATTTTGCAAACCACTACAATAAACACGCACCCGGACGCTCGGTCGACTGCGATTCGCTACAATTGACGGTCACGATACTTACGACCAGTGTTAGTAGTCAGTAAGTAGAAAGGTTTCATTTCTCGCGCATGCCCGTTGCGATGATAATGCATAGCGATGTGTCAAGGAGAACGAATACAACGAATACATGAAAAAAAAGAACTTCACAACAAGTGAGAAGGTTGAAACACTTAAATTTAAAATAACAAGTGAATAGGAATAAATTTGACAGAAAAATATTGTCAATTAAATCAATCTTTTTATATAAACCAAAAAAACTCTAATATAATTTCGCGTGAAATTTTATTATTGGAATTCACGATTTTGAAAGGTTTTTACTTAAAACTGCGTTAAAATGTAATCATTATATTATACAATTTATCCTAGTATCTGTAATTTGATAATTGTGCATTTTGCAGTTAATTTCTAAGATAATTTATGGAAAACAAAGATGTTTTCAATGACTTTTAACTAAAACATTGTATGGGAAATACATTTTTCATTTTTTGTACACAAAATTTAAAAAAAATTTTCACCATTAGTATAATACAAATTATTTATTTATCTTTTTTTTTAACATATTAATTTATTCTTATTTATCACTTTATACAATTGATAAAATGCACTGTGAAGAGCCGAAATAGCTCAGTTGGGAGAGCGTTAGACTGAAGATCTAAATGTCCCCGGTTCAATCCCGGGTTTCGGCAGCTGAGTTTATTTTTTTTTATATCAATAATTTGCGTTATTACAAATAATAAATTAAATATTAATAATTATTATATATATTGAAAATAAAGTTTTGAAAACTTTAGCACAATATAAAATATTCCTGTACATTATTATTCGCCGAAATACATTTTTAGAGTTTAAAGTAGATAATTTGAAATACCAAAATACTATATTATACATTTTGCACATTATTTGTACATTTTTAATAATTGATTTACTTTTTATTTAAATATTTCTTTTTTGTCCAAAATATAAATAAGTAATTTTCGAATACGGCGGGTAAATTTTCAAAGTGCGTTTACAGTTTGTGTCAATTCTACCAATGTCAAGACTCAAATATAGTAACTAACTAAAAACTAAAACAAAAATCTTGGATAAAATAATTGTATACAATTTTAGTCAAGACTCAAATTATTTATAGCTAAGACTCAAACCATTTTAGCTCAAATAAAAAAATGGCTAAAATGATTTGAGTTTTGGCTAAAATTTTATCCAATTATTTTATTCAAGATTTTTTATCGATCGATGTAAAACAATTATTTATATAACTAGAGATAGCATGAGCTCGATTCCGATGTCACTTTTTATTTCCGCAAGCTGAACTGCACAGTCATTTGAGTTTACAATTCACCCTAATAAATAAAACCACTACTTGTATCAAATTGTTCAATTTTTTTTTTAGTTTAAACAATGTGCTACAATTATTCGCTCGTGAGAATTAAAAATCTATTATTTCCAATATCGAATACAATCTGGCGACAGGTTAGGACGGTGGGGCAAAGCAGGGGTGAGTTGCGCGCGCCCGCGAAACGCCATTAGCGATTGGAGGAGACGGAATAGCCGCGCAGACTTGATATATCCATGAGCAAAGCTCGTTGCGGTGGTTGGCCACCCTCAGTCGGGTTCTGATGTTCGCGATGTAAGGATGTTAACTGCTGACTGTATTGACAGCAACACATATACGTAGCATTAATATTTGGAAGAAACCATTTGCCGCAGCAACAGTCGCGTTATTGAAGCGTTTATGCAATTTTGAAGCTTTCACGTGTATCAGCTTGTCGCGAATGTCAATGTAAAAGACGTCACAGGGCGAAGAACGCCCGTTTAATGCTCTCCTGTCAGTGATCATAGTGAGTTGAGTGCATTTCTTTTCCGACTGTGATTCCCAATTTTACAATTTACTTGAAAACGATGAGACTTCTACGAATGCTGCTTGTTATCGTCTACCTGCTACGCTGTCATGTCGCCCGCTCGATAGCCGGTGAGTACATAACTGTACGAATATATACGAAAATGTGCACGGGCGTGTGCGCGAGTACACGTGTGTGTGCATATGTGTATGTGTTGTGCTATCACCAGCGCATACATTTGTCATCTTAAAGATCTCTCACGCATCTCTAATTATTCTCGAATAAAATAATTCCATGTAGTGATAAATATTTGTTATTACATTTAGTAAATTCTATTTAAAACTGTACAATTATAGATATGTTTAAATCTACACTCGACTGTGGCGCCAAATGTAATAACCATTAAAAAAATTTACAAAATCACAATTCCATCTGAATACTATGAGGTAATAATCGTTTGCAGTATAATGGAACAATATGTTTATTCCCTTTATTTCTTCTGAAATTGTATTTTTTACTAGAAATATATTAAAAATAATAATTTTTATTTATTAACATTGCTGTTAGAAACCCAAAGATTTAAAAATAATCTTTTTTTTTATATAAGTACATTTGCGAAAAAGCTAAAATAGAGTTTAATTTGTATACTTTTATGTGCTGTTAAAACTTATACATTTTTCAGGATTTTTTACGAATTTTTTATACATTACTTTGTTCGAAATAATGTTTTAAAGTCTAAATGCATTTTGTCACAAAAATATTATTTATTAGTTATAAAACTAAATGCAATAACACAATTTTATTAAAAATGAATATATGGCGGTTTTGAAATTGCTGATTTTGTATGTACATACATTGATGTACTTTGCAAAATTGCAAATACAAAAATTAGTATTATTAATTGGTTCCTTTCATCGTGTATTAAAATACTATACGTAACTTACTAAATTAAACGTTCATTTACTAAACGCGCAATGTATTATAATCAGTGCCGGATCTACACATAAGCTAGATAAGCTACAGCTTAGGGGTCTCACATTATAAGGGGGCCTCTTTAGTATAGAAAAGATTTTTAAAAATGTATTTTTTGTTAATAAGAGGGGGCCTCCTTAAGATCATAGCTTAGGGGCCACAAAATCGTACATTCGACCCTGATTATAATACTATGTATTTACTATTATATATAATATTTATTAATTATTTTCGCGCATATAATTATTATAATATTATTTATGTATGATTAATATTAATAAGTATGCTAATAGTTTGACGTTGAATTTGACATTGACGTAAAATTATTGATATTCTAACATTTCAACGGCGAAATATCAAAGATGCTATATAAGCAAAAGTATTGATACTTCGATATCTCGTAATATTATTATCGCTGCACCGTATCTGCGGAATAGTCGGCAAACTGCGGTGAGGATTATACCACATCATGATCGCTGCACATTGCAGATAAGGCGCTTAGCACTGCTGGTACATTTACAAACACGTTTTTAGTACTCGCAATACACAAATCTACTCGCGAATTAACAATAATCAGAGTGTATCTGCAAACACGAAGATTGTCGATCGAAGACTTTTACAAGTCCTTATTTGCTTCGTTCGCAAAGACGGACATTGAAGAATATGACATTATTAGAACAACGGTAAAGATGGGCATTATTCGGGATAAATGTTTAATTTATTATCCAAGCAAGTTTTATCGTTACAATATGCAGTAAAAACAAAATCTTTGTGCAATACTTAATAAACAATATATACACTATTTACGATATTATACATGAAACTGATCCTATTGCACTGCCACATATGAAGCGAGTATGTCGCAACTAATTTGTTATAACGTAGTCAAGCGCTTTCATTGCATTAATGCGAGGAAGCCACATGGTAGCAACATGACGCGCGCGAATAAACCAAACGCTTTAGCGAAATCAGTCCGCTATGAGATTGCAACTGATAGAATTAGGATAGAATTAGTTTATTTTTGTCGGATTTTACATGTTTCATGCGCAATGTTATCCGGATCGTAAGTTCCGAGCGGAATCGGAATTGGAGTGCTTTTTTTTTTATTTATTCCGTATTCAAGCAGTTTCAATAATTTCATCACAATTGTTGTAATCGCAATAACATTTCTTTCTGTTCTTGCAAACAATATGCATTTTTATGACATGTTTAATGAACAAAAAGAGACGAACAGGACAGCAGTTTTTCTTTTGCCTTTTTAATGAATTGGTTCACTCGATAATAGGATGGTCATTTAAGAATTCTTTTGCAAGCGCGCACAATAGTTCCTCATTAGCAAGGTGTCTGCTAAAGGATCATTAATTCGTTGAATTAATTGCGTTGTTTTATTCCCACCTCTTCTCGCTCTCGAATAAAATAATTGTAAGGTAGCAATGGCTCGCAATTAAAACGTGTTTTTATAGTTATATTATAATAAAAATTGTTATTATATAATTAATCATATTATTAATACTGTATATTGATCAACTTGTATTACCAATTAGATTAGCTCACTCAAACCAACCGTGAACTTTTTCAATTCCAATTTGATCTAATTGAAAAATTCCACCAAAGATGAAATGAGATCGATAGCGAAATAAGAATTTTTTAAATAAAAATATGTCATTGAAAATGAAATAACTTACACGAATATTTGTATTATTTGATCGAATTGATAATCAATCGATAAATTCTTAAAAATGGAGTTAATATAAAACACAAAAAAAATTTTTAAATTATTTGACGGTTTTTGTGATTATATTAATTGTTTCATTTCTTCATCAAAACGATATTTATCTTGAAATTTTATTACTTTACTTATTAATGTGTAATCGCAATTCTCCACAAACACCATGTAGTCTCGCCATTTCCAAGGCACATCGTAACATCTCGTAGGAGAAATTCAGCGCAACATCGAACAATCGCTTTAAGTGAGTCTGCTCGGAAAAATTTGAGTATACGATGTAAACATAGCTATAGCACGCGACCTAATTCCGTAATTAAAGCGGGCGTTAAGCCTGCTTGCCTTAGGGGTCTATCGTGACCCACAGTCCGATTTCGCGATACCTAACAATTGACGTCAGCCGTCGTCGAGAAACGCATCGTAAAAGTGAAAGGGTTGGTTTTGCTGGCTTAAATTAAAAGTGGTCCTTAATTGCAGAATGAAAAAGTGTGACAAAGACAAAGTGTGAGAGATAATTCTTTTTTTCCACAGCCACACTATTTCCCGAGTCTTACAGGCATGCACACACACACACATTCGCGCATGCACGTCCATTGTTTCACAGAGTTTAAAACTTCACTAATTGTCAGTGGATAGCGCTTGCACAATGTAAGAAATATTTTTGACCTTCTAAAAGTTGTGCACCACGTAATTACGCGCATTATTATATTTTTATTATACTTTATTATATTTTATAATTACATAAATATCATTAAGTACCTATTTAAAAATAAAATATATCATTTTGTTAGCAAACACTATTTGAATACTAGGTCATTGTTTTAGACAGTTGCAAAAGTTCACCGAACGGTCGTTCAATTGGGTGAAATCGAACTGATAGAATTAGCGTAACCTCGACCAATTTTAGCAATTTTGCAGGTAGCTCACACACGGATTTTACAGAAAGATAATCTTGAACGACAAGAGTAAACAATCTTACAAATCAAACGAAACATATTTAAGTTCCAAAATCATAAACCACAAATGAGCTTTAAATTTTGAAAGAGCTTACTATTAAATGTTAAGCTTGTTGATTGAAAATTACTTAACGGCTTTTACGGCTGATGTAGCTCTGGCAGTTTTTAAAGAAAACAGATACAACTTTTATCGGAGACATTTTTTTGTATCTCTATCCAATTTCAAGTTCTTATGTAAACTGGGGCATTCTGTTTAAACTTACATAAATCAATGAGTGTTCTTTTAGCCGGAGCTTATTATAACTAATTTAAAATCGATTTTTTCTAATTGTAACTTCTGCGATATATTCTTCTTTATTATATTTTCTAATGCCGTTGCATCATCTTTGCAATTAATTTTAAGACGCCGCTATAGAACAATTCGTGTTTCAATATAGCGCGTGCAAAATTGTAATAATATATAATTAGCGTTTGTTGGTAATTAGCTCACGTACATAGTGTGATGTCCCGACAATGGTAAAATTCAAAAAACAGAACATTATAAAAGAGATCTGTACAAGTCCATCTAAAATTCATCCAAAGAGCAAGATTGAAGTTATGATTAGTGTTAACTGTATTATTAGTTATTGTTTTGTAGCAGTAAGAATAATTCAAATAATTCTTCACTGTGGTTTCGTATAATAAAATATTTAATATAAATAGTGCCGCTCAGACAAACAACTAGCTCGCGTTAAATCAGCGGATCTCTTTGATCCTTGTATTATCGTTTTTAATAAGTGAGTGGATGCAAGGGACGTATACGGCGGTGAATCCTTATGCTACACCACATAGTCCCCCCCTTGAGAGGTGACGATCAATTATTTCGCATAAATTCATATAAGTATCGCATAAAATTGTACAAATATCGCATAAATTCGTACAATATTGCATAAATATCGTGTAAATTTGTATAAATATCGCATAAATTTATACAATATCGCATAAGATTGTACAACTATCGCATAAAATTGTACAAATATCGCATAGATTCGTACAATATCGCATAGATTGCACAATTATCGCATAAAATTGTACAAATATCGCATAAAATTGTACAAATATCGCATAGATTCGTACAATATCGCATAGATTCATACAATTCGCATAGAATTATACAAATATCGCATAAAATTGATACAAGGCCTTGCAATTTATATCATAAATAGTATAATTATGACTTTGTCTTATGGAGTTTTTACCCTGAGCTGATCCTCGACAACGCTTAGAGGTTATCACCCTGAGTCGGTTCACAACAACGCCTTGGGGTCGTCACCCTGAGTCAATTTATGACAGCGCCTAGGGGATGACATCGCATGGTGGACATATGATTTTTAAATACCATGTTTGGTATTACAGCCAGTCAATGAGATCATTGCTCGATGGGAAGTGGGCACAAAGACTTAACTGCTCTTTTTATTTCTCCGTTTTTTGTTTTGATGGTGGCAGTTCGTACGACTCCATCGTCGCCTGGATGAATTTGTGTGATTCTGCCTAACAACCACTGATTGCATGGCAAAGTCTTGCCTTTACGCATACCACAGTTCCCACTTCGAGATTTGTTCCGTCTTTCTTCCATTTACTCCGTGTTTGGAGCTCATTTAAATATTCGAGGCTCCAACGAGCCCAAAAATCCTGTCTGACCTTGTTAATGTGTTGCCAGACTGATAGCCGATTAACTGGAATATGTGATAAATCGCCCTCAGAAAGAGCACTGAGAGGTTTGCCGATTAAGTATTGAGCCGGGGATAATACGAGTAAGTCATTTGGATCGGACGAAATATATGTGATTGGCCTTGAGTTCACAATACCCTCGACTTCGGTCACAAATGTGTTTAACTCCTCGAATGTAAATAATGAATCTCCTATTACTCGCTTAAAGTGATGTTTAAACAACTTCACCTTCGATTCTCATATTCCACCGAAATGTGGGGCTCCGGGAGGAATGAAATGCCAGGTGATACGTTGCTCGCATGCGAATTTATTTACGATGTTTTGATGTTATTTGGAACTAAATAATGCGTACATTTCCTTTAGTTGATTATTCGCGCCTACGAAATTGCTCCCGTTATCCGAATAAATGTGAGCGGGCAATCCACGTCTCGCGATGAATCGTCGCAAGGCTGCGATAAAACCCTCAGATGTCAAATCACTCACAATTTCTAAATGTACAGCTTTTATCACCAAGCAAACAAATACGCATATGTAAACTTTAATTCGCGAACGATTACGAAATTTTTTCTCTTTAATATAAAATGGTCCACAGAAATCGATGCCAGTGTTAGTAAACGGTACTGCCTCGCATATGCGGAATGATGGAAGATTTCCCATCTTGTGTTTAACCGTCTCAGCATTGAACCGAAAACACCGGATACATGAACGCGTAATTTTTCTGACCTGATTTCTGCCGTCTAGTAACCAAAATTTTTGACGAATGAAATATAATGTAGTTTGTATGCCAGGATGATGATACCTCTCGTGAGTTTCACGAATAATACTATCAGTTAAACCATGTTTGCTCGGAAGTAAGATAGGATGTTTTTGTGCGAAAGTTAGATTAGAAGATTGAAGTCGCCCCCCGACACGAATTAAACCATCTGTATCTAAAAACGGATTCAAATTAGCGAGTCTACCTTTATTAATCAGATGTCCTTTTTCCAGTGCTTTATTTTCGTTGGAAAATCGACTAATTTGCAATAGCTTTAGTATTCGTATTTCGGCTTTACCTATCTCTTCCGAATTTATCGAACCGAAGTATTTATTATTGACCCTGAATCGAAGGCAATACGCTATTATTCTGCATAATTTATGATAAGAAGAATATCTCTCGAGTATTCCACTATCAACTAAAGTTGCCGTTAGACAGACATTCTTTTTCAGTTCCGGTATCTCACTCACTCGTAAATCTTCGAATGGCCACCTTTTTTCGCTCTCTGCTAGCCAATGTGGCCCTGTAAACCATGTGCGATTCTGAGCAAACGCGTAAGGTAGTTGACCTCTTGACAATGCGTCCGCGGGATTATCTATAGATCTAATGTGCCGCCACTCGATGTTCGTGAACTTAGCATATCATTTTCCAGCAGATCAAAAATAAAAGAGAGTTCTTGTCGCATGCAGTCGAGTTCTATAGTTCCTTATAGTTTTAGTAATAGTTCTGGTGATTTTATCCAAAAAAACAACCAATCGAAAAAATGATCTGCTAACTTCCCGTAGCAGATCAATTTCTAGCAGATCAAAAATAAGAGAAAGTTCTTGTCGCATGCAGTCGAGTTCTATAGTTCCTGATAGTTTTAATGATAGTTCTGGTGATTTTATAAAAAAAACACCGATCGAAAAAAATGATCTGCTACGGAAAGTTAGCAGATAAAAAAATAGAGGACACTGAACATATATGTGTAATATGCTGGCCGTATATTGATAGTTCTGTTAATAATT